AGCCCCGCCTCTAGCCCTCAGTGCGCATGCTCAGACCCAGGCCAGCCCCTCTGCTCCTTCTTGTCTTAAATCTCTGCTGCGCCTGGTGGTTTTTTCCTTAGCCCCTGGATTCAGATCTTGCCTGCACTCCGGGTTCTGATCCATCCATCTCCCCTCCCACCACCATGTCCTTGTTCCCTGGACCGGAGTCTGCTTTGCAGATTCTGTCTGGCAAAGTGGAATCAAATCACGTTACCCTTCTGCTCTGAAGCCTCCTGGGACTTCCCAGAGGAGCTGCACCAAACCTGGCCGCCTGGAAATCCTCCATCGCCTCCCTCCCTTCCCCCTCGTCCCTGCTCACGAGCTCCCCAGCCTCCTCTCCGGCGCCTAGATATGCCAACCAGGGATGTGCTGCTAAATGCTTAACAACTGGGGGTGGCGGGGGTCCCCGTGTGTTTGCCAGACCGCTGTGTCAGTGCCCCCACCAGGGCTCTGGTTTGGAGCTATTAATGAGATGTCACCAAGAAGAGGTGTGCAGGATCTGCCACCGTGAGCAGGTTGGAGCCGGCTGGAGCTTGCTGCTGGCGAGCCTCTCTGCACCCGCTGAGGCTTTGCCACCCTCTGCCAGCACCCCCATCTGCACCCCCATCTTGGCATTCCAGCTCGTCCCTCCCCCTGCGGGTGTCTTGGCCAGGATTTTTTTTTTTTTTTTTTTGGTGCCAGGGATGGAACCCAGGGGTGCTTCACCACGGAGCCGCGTCCCCAGCCCTTTTCCCATTTTATTTAGAGACAGGGTCTCGCTGAGTGGCTCAGGGCCTGGCTCAGTGGCTGAGGCTGGCCTCCACCTTGCGATCCTCCTGCCTCAGCCTCCCCAGCTGCAGGGATGAACAGGCGTGGGCCATCATGCCCATCTCAGCCAGGGCTTTCCTGACCACTTAAGTTATTTCTGCAGTCACAAGTTTTTGATGGATTGTTTGGGCTTCTCCCTGTTTCCCCTCAGGGGCAGAGATCTTGCCTGTCCTGTTTACTGCTGTGTCCCCAAGGCTGAAGGAGAACTGAGCAGAGGAGCCCTCCACCAGGCCCAGGGATGAGTGTCCATTGAGGGTCCCCCCAGGCTTGAAAGGCAGGCTCAGAGGCTGGAAGCTTCCAGAAGCCAGCCTGTTTGCAGAGTCCAGCTGCTTTCTGGTATTTCCAGCAGCTTCTCCTGTCCCCGGGAGGTCGCCACTTGCTCCCCTCCCCCCCAACACCTGCTGTGGGTGGAGCCTCCATCACCAGGCTCTCCCTCCCGCTGCCTCCAGCCCCAGGGCTCCTGGTCACTGACAAGGGACAGCCCCCTCCAGCTCTGGGCTTTCTGGTGGAATGCCCACATTCACCCCTGGCTGTTGGTCACCGCTTGGAAATGTCCCCTAACAGGGGACATCTTCTTTTTTGCAGATGAGCCATCGTGACTGTGCACTAAGAAACCCAGATGTGCGGGTCCCCAGGAGCGAAACCAGAGCGACCTGTTCTGATCGTCTGCCCAAACCGCATGTGACCCGCCCCGGGGGCAAGTCCCTTGCCACCTCGCCGAGCTTGTCCCCCTTCCCCCCAGCACAGGGTTTGTTTCTCTGTCCCAGAGGCTGGAATGCAGAAGCTGGTGACCTGGGGTGACTTCATCTTGGGGGGTGGGGGACTCTCCAGGATTCTGTGGCAGAATGCAAACCAGGAGACAATGGACGGACATGAGGGGGGGGGGCTGAGCAGGTGCCTGGGGGAAAAAATGGTCCCTGATCTCTCTTAGGGGTGAGGTGACCTCAGCCAACAGCAGCAAGAAACCTCGATGCCCACAGCAGCAAAAAAAAAATCAGGTTGCAGAAGAGGCTGAGATTTTTTTTTTCTTGGAACTTCTGCACCCAAGGGGGGAGGGGGAGGGGGGAGGGGCGAGGCCCAGCCTCACAGGAGGGAGGGAGGCCCAGCCCCAGAAGCAGATGGCCTGCTTGGCTCCCAGCCCTGGGAGGTGGAGCCGCTGCCGATAAAGCACATTTGGAGCCCTGAGATGAATAAGCTGCAGAACTTTTCAGAGTGGATAAACCAGGGCTGCTTCATCCATGCTCCACCCTGACCATCAGGCTCTTCTTCCCTCATCCAAAAAAAAAAAAAAAAAAAAAAAAAAAAATCAACTGTCTCCTTTTTTTTTTTTTGTGGCACTGGGGATCAAACCCAGGGGTGCTTAACCACGGGAGCCCCATCCCAGCCCTTGTTTTTTTTCTATTTTACTTGGAGACCGGGCCTCTCATAATGGCTTAGGGTCTTACTAAGTGGCTGAGGCTGGCCTCTACGTGGCGGTCCTCCGGCCTCGGCCTCCAGGAGATGAAGTGCTCCCTACAGAACTTTGGACTTGGCTCCACCGAGGAGTCTGTTCCTCTCATAGAGCTGGGGATCATGACACTTTTTTAGCCCGTCTGAGCGCAGAGTGCAAAACCCAAGAAGAAATCTGCTTTGTTTTTGTTAGGAAAGATCTGGAAAACGAGAAGAGCTTGCTTTTTTTTTTTTTTTTTTTTTGAAATGATGTCTGGCCCGAGAGAGACAGAATGTCTGTTCCTACTCTCAGGCAGCTTTGAGAGGGGGCCCTCATGCACGTCACCAGAGGAAGGAGGGGGGACAGTGTCCTCCCGCAGTCTCCCGGGGCCAGGGTATGTTCTCGGTTCTTGCTTGTTTCCCAATCATCCCGGCCACTCAGCCGAATCCCTGGTTTCATCCTCCACATGGATCCCTTCCTGCCAAATCCCAGCAGCTTGGGAGGCCGAGGCAGGAGGATCACAAGGTGGAGGCCAGCCTCTGCCATTTAGTGAGGTGCTAAAGCGACTCCGTGAGACCCTGTCTCTAAATAAAATAGAAAACAAGGGCTGGGGATGGGGCTCAGGGATCGAGGGCCCCTGAGTTCCATCCCTGGTACCCCTCCATAAATACATGATAGGCAAAGGTGGACAGGTGACACTTGCTGTCAACAGAAACTCCGTGAGGTGGGGACGGTTCACTTTCCCCATTTTACAGATGAGGTCCAGAGAGGCCAAGCAGATTGCCTAAGGTCACACAGCGAGGAGACCAGCAAAAAGTGAGCCCAGTCGGGAGGGCTTAGCCTGGGTGCAGCAGAGGGACTGTGCCTGGCCTCCTGCAGAGGCTCAGGGGGCCCTTTGGGTACCAGGGATGGAACCCAGGGGCGCTTCACCCCTAAGCCCCGTCCCCAGCCCCTTTTTCTATTTTATTTAGAGACAGGGTCTCGCTGAGTGGCTCAGGGCCTCGCTCAATGGCTGAGGCTGGCCTCCCATTTGCGATCCTCCTGCCTCAGCCTCCAGAGTCGCTGGAATAACAACTGTACGGCTCTGAGAAGAATTTGCAGCCTCAGGGGTAAACTCCGTGCCATACTTCAAGTTCCACAGTCCAAGTATGGGATGTGGCTGGAGTTGGCTGTTTCTATGTTTAAATTTGTATCTCTTAGCGACTGCTGCATGCAGAACAAGGACACGTCTTATTTGCTGAGCAACGCACTTTACATATGTTATGCTGTAATGGACTCCTCAGTGATATGACCCCTGGGAACAACCTACATGCCTGACACATGCTCAATTCCTCCTCCATCACTTCCTTTCCCTCTGAGGTGAGTGTCAGAGTTTCATAACTCAAGGAGTTGGAGAGGCTCCAGAGAGATGGGATCCGACAACCCTGTTCCTCACGTGACAGGTGGCCTCCTGGTTTTCTGGCGCATTAGTCAACTTTTGGTCTCTGTGACAAAATGCCTGACATAAACAACTTAAAAAGACAAAAGGTCGATGTTGGGGGGGGCTTATGGTTTGAGGGAGTTCAGTCTGCGGTCGACCAGCTCCATGGTTTTGAGGCTGAGGGGAGGCAGAACATCATGGCGGAAGAGAGAAAGCTACCCAGCTCATATGGCAGCTGGGGAGGAGAGAGAGAGTGAGACAGAGAGAGAGAGAGAGATGCAGAGAGGGGGAGGGAGGGAGGAAACACAAGAACTACTTCTCCAGGGTGCACCCCGTACTACTTCCTGCAACCAGACTCCAGCTCTGTACAATTTCCATCCAAAGAATTAATCCATTGAGTGGATTAATCCACAGATGAGGTCAGAGCCCTCGAGAGCCAATCATTTCCTAAAAGCCACAACGCTGAACACTGCGGCCCCAGGGGACCAAGCCTTCCACACTGGAATCTTCGAGGGGTGTGCATGCTGTGGGTGCATCCAGGTAAATGCAGGGAGAACTGGGCAGGGTTCCCCAAACCAGAAGTTAAAAAAGAAAAAAAGAAATTGGCCTCACTCCTCATAAACCACAGGCCTTAAAACAGGAAAAACCAAGTTGTGTGTGTTATAGACCATTTTACGTATTTATTTTTGTGATTTAGGGGGATGGAACCCAGGGGTGCTGAACCCCACCCCCCCACCGAGCCCCGTCCCCAGCCCTTTTTGTATTTTATTCAGAGACAGGGTCTCGCTGAGTTGCCGAGGGCCTCACGAATGGCTGAGGCTGGCCTCCGACTTGCGATCCTCCTGCCTCCAGCCTCCTAAGCGGCTGGGGACGACAGGCCTGCACTACTGCGCCCGGCTATGATTTTCTCCTCCGTGTGTCCGATTTGCCCTTCCTTTTCCACATCAGGAGCCCGAGAATAAATGATGCCAGCAGCATGCTGTCGGGCCTCCAGAACTGTGAGCCCACGCGAACCTTTTTACTTTATAAATGGCTCCGTCTCAGGGTATTCTGTGATAGCAACGGAAAACAAGCTGATACACTCGGATCGCATTTCAGAGGTCAACTTCTACACACTCTTCCTAGGTACACCGTTCTTACTTTAGAGAATTTATCGGAAGATTTCTAAATGTCTTAAGATCTGGGATCCCAAGGCAGAATGGCCACCTTGGGGCCGCGCTGTGGTGTCCATTTTCCGTGACTGTAACAAATATCTGAGACGATCCACTTACAAAGACAAAAAGGACGTCTACCCAGATCATCAAGGGTGTCCTTCAGATTCCTGGCCAATGCTCACCCCTTTCTCATTCATTCAGGCGACCGCTAAGCTAGGTCCAGTATTAGAATGGGAGGCGGGTGACCATCGTGAGGGTTCCTGCCCCCCAAAAATCTTTCAGGCCGGATGAAGAAGAAGAAGAAGAAGGTTCAGAATCACCCTAAATAGCTACTCAGGATCCTGCGGAGGATGAGTCATGTGTCTGTTGCATTTGTGAAGTGAAGAAATCACACCGCCAAACCTCCAAAATGTGTAATAGTAAGTCAACGCGCACACCCCCTCACACACGCATCATTTATGTACGCTCCAAACTGG